GATACACGTGGGTTGGGACATCCGGTTTAGTCCTGGCCCGTCCTGGCAATCGCCGAATTGTAAAAACAATTACACATTATTCAATTAGTGTGCACATCCATGGGCTGGGTAAACAAATACTTCAAATTTTACATTCACTTTGGCAACCAAATGTCGGTGTTTGGTCACGAACGGATAAAATTTGTTCAAATAAATTAAAATTAATTTCGGTCTGAATGCGATATTTGGATGGATAAGTACGACAATTTGTGTGGAGCTCGATGGATAAATTTCTAATATCCATCATATTATTCTGGCATACTTATCTGAAAGTAATTTATTTAAGTAATTCAAGTTACATTCACTTTGCGGTCTCTCTAAGCAAATAATTTGCCAACATTTGCTTCAAAGCTGGGGCAGCAAAAATTCAATTGGATTCATATTAAAATTATTTACAGATAGTGGCCATTAACCCCCTATTAGTGTGTTTAACCCACTAGCACTAATAACCGCAATTTGTTGGGCCTAATGAATTACAGATGTGGAGGGCGGGTCGGCCCTCCATTGTTTTAGGACTAAGCCAGAGCAAGGGCGATAGAATAAATATGCAATTCGCATATGGAGGCTGAAATATGTTGTGTTGGCCAAATCCTATGATTGTGTTTTCCGGCTAATTAGTGGCCTGTGGCCCATCCTCCGTCTTTTTGTCGAGTGTAGATGGCGAAATGAGAAAATGCATTTCGAAAAGGGAAAAGGGCTGAAAATCGATCTGAACCATGCACCGAATGGCCATTAACTTTTGGCTTTCTGGCCAAAAGACAAAAAAGGGCCATAACCATAATTATTAATGGGCTTGTATCAGGGGAAAAGTCGAGAGTACATTTCCCCATTTTCTCTCGTCCAAGGCTATTGTCAAAATCCCCAGTCCTTGTCTGGGGACTTTGAAACTGGGTGAAGCCAAAGTCGTCTGGAAATCTGTTAAAGCTGCCTGCTATGCTTTCCTTCGTCATTCCGGCTGTTCTTGCCGGCTAACAAATGGTTAGCAATGCGCACAATTGCAGGCAATTCATCTCGGACGCCATCTAGCAATTGTTCGCTCAATCGGCGACAAAAACGCAGCCCAGGACGAGTGGGGAGTGGGCTGGAACTCCTGCCCCAGAATCGCATTTATCGATTGGACTTCATCAGTCGAGCGCGCATAGTTGAAGGTCCTGCGATGCAGAGGAAGAAACCGCGGCCAGAATACGAGTTTGTATTTAATTAGGTGCCAGGTGCGCGAAAGTACATTCCCAGAAAGTTCAGAGTCATTTCTTCAAGTGTAGTCCCGACCCACCGCTGTGGCCCGTTCTTTTCGCCCTTCTGCTAGATTCTCAGCTCGCCGCAGTCGCGCAGCCATTGAGTTATGGCAAACATGCGGCATAAATTATGGCTTCATGGATGGGGGAGGAGCGTGGTCGGCAGCAGGTTGAAGGTTGGCTGCTGGTGGGGCTGCAGGAAGCTGGGGCATGGAGCATTGACATGCCAAGTGCGAGCTCAGCGAGCTCATCGAGCTCATGACATGACAGTTGCTCATCGTCGCAAAATAGGAGGATATAGTCGTGCTCCTGCTCCTGTCACGGCCCCTGCTTCTCTGCTATAATATTTGTTTGGCTGCTGATGAAGACGATAACTGTCAGTGGCTGTCAGTGGAGCAGAGCACTCCACGGAGGCGATGCCGGAACCCAGAAACCAATTCGCACCAGCACACAAAATTAGGCACTGGAAATGAAAGCGCACACCCAATTAGGCGAGATACAGAAATTATGCCTCCCCAGAGCCGAGGCCCAAGGTCGCCCCCACTCCTACCTCGAATCAATGATTGATTCTCAGATCCTTTAAACGCATACCCGTGGGTATTTGCCAGGAAACTCAAGTGCCCAATAAAGGCAAATCGTGTGTGCCACATGGCATATGATTATTGCGTATACGCAACGGGGTCACTTTAACATTATGAATTATGCATAACACGGGGCATTCATAATCATTTCTGCGGTGTCTCGACCCCTTACCCCTCACCTTGGCCCGCTTCTCATCGCCGGATGTCGGTCCCTATTAAAATCTGCGCCTCGGCTGCCTCATAAATGTTTAACGCACCTGCAGCGGCGGAGGCCCGAAAACAAAAACCCGGCCGGATCCTGTCGGCCAGCTGCTCATTCATGTCAAAATAAGTACACTGCAAAATAATATTTTAGGTTTCATCTGATAAAGGACCTGCGATAAAGGACATAAGCTTTTATGATTACTTTTCACAGGATTGAAGGTAAGGTCTTTTCTCTCACTCGATAAGGCTGAGGAGTATCCTGTGTAATATGCGGCCTACATAACAATGAACCTTTTTTCCAGACGACCTTTCAAGCGCTTTATTCCACCAGCCAATGTGTGAAGGAAACCCCCTAAGAGGAGGTGTGGCTGGAGCTGGCCCCCTTTCAGGTACCAGACCATATTAGCCAACAATCAATGAGCAAGAGTCCCCTGAGAGGAGCTCCCACTACGCAGCCTTACCCTTTATGTGCTGATTATAGTGCCATGTATTCAGAACATAAATCAAATGTCCTATTCGGTGGTTGAGTCGTACGCGTCGTCGTCGACGTCACCCATCCATCCATAACTCGTTCGCTCATTCATCCGTTGGCTCCTTCATTCATTCGTTCGTTATTTATTCATAGCAAATGTTGTTAGCCCCCCTACAATGTAGCTGTCTGGCTGCATGAAATGTACAAAATGTTTGGGGCTTAAATAAATACAGAAAACCTCAGTGCGAAACCGAACCGAAAAGCCCCGACCGCAGTAACAATGCGTCGCTTGTCGCCTTTTGTTGGCGCTGCTTTGCAGCTTCCCACCAGTCCACATAGGCTACACTGCCAGGACATGCTAGAACCCATCAGAGAGAGGAATTCCTAAGTAAAAGATTTCCATTCTCGCAGTGTAGCATCCGCCCTTAGCCACCATCACCTCGTTGCGTTGTTCTAGGTACGTGTGTGCTTAGCGTTGCGTAAAATAAATCATTTTGCTGCGGTAAACACGCACACACCGAGCGGTCTGAAGATTCTGCGTTGCATAGAGATATCTGCTACAAATTGCCGGTCGACGGCGAGCGCAGCTGAGGACTCCCCCTCTTGGGGTTAAGCCCCAAAAAATTAGTTGAATGAATAAAAATGAGTCATTTTGGCACGGAATTCAAGGAATGCGAGGCAAATTAAGCAGTTGGAGGAGCTGCTAGGTGGGTGTGCCTGGGCTGGCTTAGTTGGCTGCCAAATCCCTGCTATTAAGCGTGGCTGACAAGGAGCAAGATTGGACGGAAAATTAACTGGAAATAAGGGAAAGCTTATCCGCACCGAGCTTGGTTACCTTGGATAAATATGCTTTCTTGAAGATTTTTAATGCCGGCTTAAATATTGAGTCAGAAACAACAATTGTACTTAGATCCAACCAAGAAACTATTACACAGCTACTACACGATATTAAAGTCAATGTCAGGATGCTAACATTTAAGTGGAAAATAATTTACCAGAGTCCTTGATGTTCTTGGCAAACACGAGTGTTTAGCGCCTGGTCAGAAGCAAGAAAGAAATTAAGAGCCTGCAGTTACACGAAATTAAGTTTTTCATGGCAAATTTATTCATGACCGGGTCTAATTAACTTTTCCAATTGGCTCAGGCTGAAAAGCGATGTAAGGCCTGACCCGGACCGGGGGCATATGCACACCTTCATACCTGAAATTGTGCGTAATTCAGGGCCCCAGACCCCCCAGTTCGGAGTTCAACTGACCGGAAGCACTAAAAGCCGACTCTAACTGCCTGCCTGCACAAATATAATTAAAATGCCCCATCTGCAGATAGAAAAACTGAGAAATAAATAAGCGAATGGCAAAAATAAAACTTGTCATTTAATGTGCTCCGTCAAAGCAAGTGGCATCTGAGTCGAATTGATGGGGGAGCCCCTTGGAGAAATTGAATCAAGGGAAATGTCCTTTTTCTTTTTCGCTTAAGACCCGGATTCGTTGGCCAACTTAAAAGCAAGCCATTCCATTTTTTGGCTCACTTGCATCGAGTTCAATTCCTCACACCCTCGGGCGAGGGGAAAGGCTGCTGCATTTCTCTGTCCTTTGCCTTAGTCCTGTCTTGTTGCAGCTTGTTTTTGCCAATTTCAAATACACGAATGTTGTGTTATTTCCGTCAAAAGAGTAATTAAACGTACAAAGCCAACGACATTTCAGCACATTACAGGGTCGGCAAGCTGGAGCAGACAGGCGACCGCGAGGTCTTCTCAAGAACTACCGGATAAAAGAGCAATTCGCATCTGAGAAGCTTAATTTATTTTCTAGATAGCTTTGAAAATGTAATAACCATTTTGAGCTTAAACTTTGACCACTAAGTCATGCCTTCAAAGGAAACAATTCACTTTACCTGCTGCAATTAATTGTGATTCATTTAAATTAATTTTAAGAGAGAAACTTTTCGACACATCCTCGCTTTGGCATCCAGGCATTTGTCCATTTGGTTTCTCTGGCTTCTTAGGGCCCGGCGGTCATTGTGGCTCCTCCGTCCGTCCATCTCTCCGGCTGTCTGTTGGCCTTCGCAAAGAAGGACCAGAGCCGGAGCAGGAGCACGTCCTGGAATCGGGGTTGAGGTCAAAAGAAGGCAGGAAGGAACCTGGAGCGGGAGTTGTCCGCAACCTGTGAGCAAAACATTGTAAATAAAATGCAAGGATCCGAGAAGGGTTCGGCAGGGGTAGGAGTTGAGTTCTGTGTCTGGCTTCCTGACCTGCGGCGCTTTTGTGTTAATTGCGGTTGCATTTAATTACAGTCCGTTGCAACTGGCGTCCTTTCACCGCTGCCACACGGTGCATATTTGGTCTGAGCTCTCTGAATTTTTCGCACACCTGCTAAGCTTTTAATTAAAATTAAAATATTTGGCTTACTTAGTCCGTCTCATGTTCGTGTAATGATTAATCCCAAAATTCTGGCAGTAAAACACAAAAAGTAAACTAATTTTGAGTTTATTACACTGCCCTAAATTCGAAGCTTAGCTGTAGACCTCAATGATGTCCAGGATACTGACATACGTGCCCACCACTCCACCAAAGACTCCAAAACACAGCAGCAGGATGTTTATGATCAGCTTTATCCGAAGGGGTCCGTAGCCTTCCGTGTACTGGACGCAGATCTGGAGCAGAGCGGGGAATATCAGGCCCAGGATCGAGAGGCAGAAGGAACCCACCAAGGAGAGGAACACCGAAAGATCGGGAATGGCTATAGCACAGGCAACTAAAAGAACATATTTAGTAACATTTATGAACGCGAAGAATAATGTACCAACTTACAAGTCAGCAACACAATAATAGCTCTGAAAATCAGCTCAAAAATGGTATGCTTCTTAGGGTCTTTGATGTGCTTCACCAAGTACTTGTCCCACAGGATATGGGCAGTGACATAGCCTTGGAGAGCATACGAAATCCAGGTGGTGATGGCAAAGAAGATCTTTACCACCTGAGCGGGACTGAAAGAAGGAGGCAACCAAAGTCACAAATTCAAATCCGGGTTATATATTCTTAAGAGATCTCACATTTCCGACTGGGGTATATTGAGGGTAACGCTTCCTTTGGCCTCTTCACCATACTTCCAATATCCAAAGAATCCCAGGAGTATGTAGAGGCCCAGGACAATGAACATTCCGGCATTCATGATGCCGCAGGGGCCCACGAAGGACCTGGGTGTGGCCATGTTCTCCTCAATGGCTAAGATCTATTGAGAATCAATAAATGTGATGGAATTATAATCTACTTGTGTCATGGCTAAAGGACTCTACACCCACCACTCCCACAGCCTCAAGGGCGAATAGTACGGTTCCAAAAAAGGTTGGTAGTTCCGTGAAGGTCACAAATGCCTTGCGTTCGCTAAGAGGGGGCAGGTCTTCGAAAATGTAATACAAAATAATGCCAAAGCCTGTTGAAATAATAAAAGTGCAATGAAAATAGGTAGTATTGTTATCTCCATAGTGATTAAGGTCCTAAGAATTCATTCTGTAATCGGTTTTTGACTGCACTCACCCACAAACAATAACAGGTTAGCGGCACTGGAGAAAGGTGCCAGTAGTTTCAAGTTCTTAATGCTGTAGATCAGTAAGAGTGGCAGAATGATGATGCACATGTGGATCCGGACGTCCCATTCCACCAAATACTCATCCACAAGCTGCTTGATGCTTTCGGCGATGAAAACCACGTAGACGCAGCAGATGCCAAAGTGGTAAAAGGCCAGAAAGCCATCCACAAAGGGTCTACAGATGGAAAGTTTACATATAGTAATATTAAAATGGTAAATACAATTAATTAACTTGTTTCTGTTGATTTCGATAAGATATGACTGTATCACCCAATAAAACGGTCATTAAAAAATACTTAAAAATCTAATCAATGCAGTGTTCAGATTAAAAACAATATTTCGTTTGGAAAGATAGTAGCCACTACTATCTAGCCCCCAGGAATGGTTTACTCACATGGCCACTGGGGCCAGGCATCGAAGCCAGGGTGGACCCTGTTTGAGGCCCAGGTTCATGGCCTCCGAGAAGCTAACGTAGGGGACCTTTTGGCGTTTGCACAGAATGTACATGCAATTGATCTGAAATATCGAAAATATATGTATTCTATGAGGAACTATCACCAGTATTTAGAGAACCCACCAAAATATGCAGACAGTACAGGGCCAGCAGGCCGATGATCAGCGTCAGGATGGTGCCGTTCACGTATCCCGCATGGGAGAAGGCGCTGGGCATGGCCAGGACCCCCGTGCCCACCGATGCCTTGAGGAAGTGGGCAAAGGTCTGCCAATTTCTACGGCCAAATAAAGGAGAATAATATGTCATAAATAGCCCATAATTGATAGTGCTTACGTAGTGGGATTCCTGACATTGCGGTGCTGGTGGGGATCGTAATCTTCGTTACTGCCGTTGGCTGGTTTAGTGACGGTCGTTAGCTCCAGAGCTGTTGGCGGGTAAACAGCCACAGTTTTTATATCCGTGCTGTGGAGAGAGCAAATATGACTTGTTTGTGAGGCGAATTGATTGATTGATAACCGCCGATTAGGGCTGTAAAAAAAACCTCCCCTTGAACCCGCAAGGAGGTCGCTCAGGGGACCATTTTTTCCCCCAATTTTAAAGCCATTAAATGGTGGATTCAAGGGGGACTGGCCCCCCTTCTGGGAGGCGGATTCTGTTATTGTGTCACTGTGTTTGCGCATCAGTTAGCTAATTTTTTACGATCTCAAGCCAGAGGAACACAAAACAAGCCACAACTCACTTCATTGCGATAAAGTAGCAACCGACTATTTGATAAAGCTACTTGAGCTCAGGTATATAAATCTTTTATCATGTGCAATTAACCGGCCCGGGAGACAAGACTCTATTTTTTGCTTCGTTCGCGGATTCCTGAATTAGCCAGATTTATGGAAGATGAGATGCAGTCGGAGAAAAACTTTCGGAACCGAACCGAGTGCCTGGCCCAACAGGCGGATACTAAATTTCGGATCCCAGTCGAAGCCGGTCAACACCTCCTACTCCGTAAACCATGCTGATAATCTTAAAAAGATAATTGCACGATAATGGCCGGAATCAGAATGAGAATTAGAATCTCCAGAGGGATGTGGGAATGCAATGAAACGCAATCGGAATATATGCCAAAAATAATGTTTGCACATTTCGTTATATCGACAGACAACAAAAACAGGAATAAGTAAATAGAATTAAATCTTAACCAGTTTTGCGATCGTATTTGAACCCCCTAAAAGGTTCAATTCCTCAATTTCAACTGGTTACTAACTTTTTATTAAGAAAGCTTAGCCTAGACAACCACCCGCGAAAGTTTATGGACAGTGGGCGTCACAGAACAGAGCCAGCAGTGCGTATACGTAATGACGTGGTTCGTACAGCAGTGCGTATACGTAATAACGTATACGTAAGGCAGATAAGGCTTTATTTGGATATATATTATAATTTATTGAATCAAATGAAAGTATAAATCTATAATAGGAGAGCTTTCTCCATATATTTCAGAATATAATAGTTATATTTTAATTTAAAATTAAATAATTTAATCTCAGTAACTATTAGTGTTTTAGCCTTCCATAGAGCCGGTCACACTGCCATGTTCTCTCATCCACTTTGTGGAATCAGTCGTTCATACAGGTGTCACAGGTGTGCGTGCGTGAACCAAGTCGGAACTCTCAAACGGAAAAACGCGACATTACATTGGAAATCGGTGTTTTGAGTCACACAATACCGAGTTGTCCGGTGCTTATGCAAATTTAATTGCGGTCTCCCAATTCATTGAAAAGTCAAAAGGTCGCTAACACCACCAGCCCGACCGCCCGCCCTCGGACCAAAATAAACACAATCAGCAAATGAAACAGGCAGCACCTCGGGCGAGGGAGAACCGCTCAACCGGTTTCAAAATATCACCCAGCACAGCACCAAGTTTTTTTGCCTATATATTTAGTTTATAGGGAATAAAAACATACACAAACGTAGTATATACGAGACCCATGAAGTGTCGGTGTGTTTTGAGTGAAAAACTAATTTAGTAATCCGAGTCAGCAGGGCAAGAAAATTAAACAAATAATAACGAAGCCTGAGCAGACGTAGTAGTCGTAGCCGTAAAGAAAAAAAGCCAACCAAGCCAGACAGACAGACAACAATGGGTTATTCCATAAAGGTAAGTGCCAAAACCGAAAACCAAAAACCGAAAACAAAAAAACCAAATCTTTATGTCTGGCCAACGGGGCGTATGTGTGTTTGTTTCTTTGGAGTCTGCATCCGAGGGGCCGTTGCGATCTTCGCTCTGACTTTGTAAACTGGTTTCCCTACTTTTACTTGACGTCTTTCAGTGGAAAAATTAAATGGGACGGATTAGAAAGATTTTTTTTGGCTCTCTCGGGAATCGTAATTAATGGGGTAATTAAGAGTCGGGGCTAACTGGCCAGAGAAACCCCTAAGCCCACCTCGTGAAGTGAAACAAAAAGGTATATAGATTATCTACCAACATTGATTAGTTGACCTTGTTCTATTGTTGTTCCCCATGCCGCTTATCTTCATCGACTAAAAGGCTTATATTCATTTCGTTGACATTAGACAACACAAATATCATATACCCCTCAAGGATGTCCTCAAAGGCTGGCATTCATTGGAGGCTACGTCAAGGGTTATTTCATTCCAATCCAGGAAAATCAATAAAGATTATTGAAACATAAAGGCTACTGTTTGGGTTTTGCGGTGCTAGATAGATATCACCCCGAGTGGGCCAGTGGAGGTGTCCCTAATCAGCCTGAAACTATCTGAAGGGAAGTGGGGAGCAGCTACTAATCATGTTCCCCCACACGTTCCATATTCATCAAAGTCGTCTATCTATATATTCATTATATTCTCATACCAGTTATAAAGCCATAAATCTAAAGCCTTGCATTTATTGTAGGGAGTTTCCAATAGATCTACTTTATTAAGATCGTATGCCTAGTTCCCTAAATCTATCCTCGTAAGTTTCCATTATATTGGTTCCGATCAAATCACTTTTGACACGCAAACCGGTCGCCGCCTCCCAATGCTTATGCAACTTATTAGAAATTATTAGTCCCTTGATTACAATAACAAAACAATGGCTTGAATGTCAGTTGAAAAAAAAGTTGGTAATTGCATGTGCAATTTCCGATTCTCCGCTGTCCATAAGGCTTAATTGTACGTTAATAGGCGTAGCGCTCGTAGCGGGAGATAAGACGCCCCGACCCCGATAAGCCCCGACTGTCGGCTAGGCTATATCCCCGCCGATTTCAGCCACTGAGCTGATAAGTTAAGCAATTCTACAATTCCGAGTCTAGTCTGGAGCTTGTTTCGCTTTCGATTTTAGTACCGACGAAATAATGATGGTGGTAAGAAGGCAGGTGCTCCGATTCCCAAATATCTCTCTGCCCGTCCCGCCCGTGATTCATGGCGTTCAGTATACGCCCAGGGGTCCGATCGCTTGATCTTATCAGAAAAGTACGTGAATCTATTTTGGGGATATACAAAACATTTCCACTCTGAGTCGGATCGTCGATAGCATTTTATAAACATGGAGAGACAGTCGAGACCAGCCAAGTGTATACTGAAGAGAATACCTCTCAGTTCAGGTATAGATTAGGCGCTCTTTAGCTCTAGAGGCAGATAACATTAGTGTGTATGTCTTCCCCAATTCTGACTTGCTAATTTTGGCCATGTTCGGGACCATAAATAAGCCCCAAACCCGAACCCGTGATCACGCCACTCTGGAGTGTAGCGCTCGGCTCTCTTAGCTGGCTCTCTATCGGCGCTAACTTATCTCTTCTGATCTGATCTCCTCCAGAACTGCGAAACGGGTGAGCTGGAGTACTTCTACACGGACACCGCCCGAGTAAAGAAACCCGCCTACGATGAGGAAACCGGCGAACCATTGCACGACCAGATGAAGGTACGCTACCGGAAGCACGGTAACTTCCATGTCCCCAAGCACTGTCTCCGGGGTACCTTGTGCGACGAGGTGGACGACGTGCTGGCGAACACGGTGCGACATGGCGCAGCGGCGATTCCAGAGATTCCCAAGCCCGCTCCCCGGAAAGCCACTCGGGGCTACGAGCGGGAGGATTTCTATCACATGGATGGTGTCAATAGCGTAAGTACTCCTACTAGTATTACTTCTAAAAAGTACTGCCACTGTCCACATCTTTAGAACATAATCCTGGGCTACAAGCGCTACGAGTACCTCCTGTTCCTGGTTCCCACACTCTTCTGCTACAACTTCTTTATTGGCGCCACGCTAGCCGTCATCGAGATCTTCCTGCACATGATGTCCCACCACAAGAACAGCCTGACCATGCAGAAGGGTCTCTACTTCCGCAGCCCCCTCCATGTCCTCTCCTCGCAGTTCTGCGCCATCTGCCGCACCGAGTGCGACAGCAAGTACAATCGCATCTTCGATATGCTCAACAAACAGATGCGCAACTCCCATCGATCCGAAACTCTGAAGGACATGGCAAAGGCCATGGCTTAAGTCGACCGGGTCGAGTGGGTTACTCAAGGACTAGACATGATTAACTAATTTAATTTTTTTTAAACAGAAACGATTTTTTGTCACGCGGTCAACAAAAATAAATGCACTGGTTTATCACTGAAGTAGAGGGAGTTACAGCTTCTCCTAAACGGGAATCTGGCCCATTGGCTTGACATCGGGCGATACGGTGAACTTGGCACCGGTGCTGGCTTTGACATCGTCCACGGTGAAGCCTTCGCCCAGTTCGATGAGAGTGAGACCCACGCCCTTCTCCACCTTGAATACAGCCTTTTCGGAAATGATCAGATCGATTACACCCTTTCCTGTTAGCGGCAGGGTACAAGATTCCAGGATCTTCGGCGAACCATCGCGAGCATTATGTTCCATGGTTATGACTACCTTGGTGCCTGGGGCAGCTACGAGATCCATGGCGCCACCCATGCCTTTGACCAGTTTGCCCTAAAAGAGAGATAGCCGTGATGAGAACTAGAATAAAGTCTTAAGAGGTTCCTACTTACAGGAATCATCCAGTTGGCCAGATCACCAGTGGCAGAAACCTCCATGGCACCAAGAATCGTCAAGTCGACATGGCCACCGCGAATCATGGCAAAGCTGTCATCGGAGCCGAAGTAGGATGCACCTGGCACTACTGTCACGCTTTCCTTGCCGGCATTGATCAAGTCCGGGTCGACTTGTTCCTTGGTGGGGAAAGGTCCCAAGCCAAGGACTCCATTCTCCGATTGCAGCATCACGTTCATTCCCTTAGGGATGTAATTGGAGGAGAGTACTGGAATGCCGATACCCAGGTTGGCATACATGCCATCTTGGAACTCCAAAGCCACTCTCCGGGCGATTCTCTCTCGCAGAGCCTGAGCGGGACTGGGAGGCGTGGCGGGCTTGTTGGGATCTTTGGGTTCCGTGAGCACCAAACGTTCAACGCGCTTGTTATAATCGGTGCCCTTGAAGATGCGTTTCACATAGATGCCGGGAACATGAATCTCGTCCGGAGAGAGGGCACCGATGGGCACCAGCTCCTCAACCTCGGCGACAGTTATCTTTGCCGCTCGGCACATAGGGGCGTTGAAGTTCCTGGCCGTCTTGTTGAAGACCAGGTTGCCCAAGGGATCGGCTTTCTGCGCCTTTACGAAGGCAAAGTCCGCAAAAATGGATTCTTCCATCACGTAGCATCTGCCGTTAAACTCCTTGACTGGCTTCTTCTCGCTGGGAATCTCCACCTTGCCATCGCTTGAGTATTTAACGGGTGCCCCGCCCTCCTGGACCAATGTGGCAAAGCCTGTGGGGGTATAGAAGGCCGGAATGCCGGCGCCTCCAGCGCGAATCTTTTCCGCCAACGTTCCTTGGGGAGTGAGTTCCACCGCCAGTTCACCAGCTAGGTACTGACGCACAAGCTCTTTGTTCTCGCCGACGTAGGATCCAATGATCTTAGAAACCTGCTTTCCTTTGATAAGAACACCCAGACCAGCGTCGTCCACTCCTGAATGAAGGGGAGATATCAAGAATAATATATAGTTTTCAATCACTGTTATCAGAATTCTTTCCAGGATGACCTACCTCCGTTATTGGAGACTCCAGTGATATTTTTGACTCCCTTCTCCTTCAGGGCAGCAATCATCTTCTCCGGAATACCGCAGATTCCAAAACCACCAAAGAGAATTTTGGCTCCGTCCGGGACATCTTCTACAGCGTCGATGGCGCACTCGTAGATTTTTCCGTTCCGGCGTTTTCCCGACGTGGAGTAGCTCGCTAAAAGCTAAAAATCAGAACCAGAAACCGCATTATTAGCATAAAAAGCTGTTTGTTTGCCTCTGGATCCGCACTAATCGCGCTCCATAGTACGGGCGAGCGTTTGAGGGGCTTGTTTGTGCAAAATCGTTGCGTAACGTCGGACTATTTTAGATTTGATTGGTTTATTCCAGGGGGGGTCTATTTGGCCGATCGCGTGTTGCTCGCCAATAATGCTTATCATTAAACCAAAACAATGTCTGTGTATTGGATCTACTTGTTTTTAGTTTTCTGTCAAACTGTTCTATTTCTGGAATTATTTCAAAACAACACCTGGCGGAATGAAATGTGGAAAACCCGTTTGGCCACCTTTTGGTCACATGATGGATAATAGTTCTATATGAAATATCTCAAAACAGATAGCTAGATTTACATTATGCTTTAAGATAGATTACCTCTATCTGCATCTGTAGGATTTGTGTAGAAATCTATTAGATGGATAATTATTGGATGTTTTTTTTTACCTTAATCGGGGTCGAATATCGGGAAGATAGTGTATTGTTGGCCACCAAACGACGGAGCATTTTGAAACCAAATTTATGTAAAATTTAGAAAAATGAAACGAAACTAATGAAGTGTTTTCCCGAAAGCAACTGAAAGCAGAATGAAATCAGCTGAAGAGCGCAACAGGTATTTAGATACCTTACGTAGCTGTCTTACGTAAAGAACTAGTTCGATATCTCACAGATACGTAATACTCGCTTAAAAAATAAAAGGGCTGATTTAATCTATAATCTGTATCTTTTAATCTTCTTATCCTCCTGGAACTACTTGCACTTATTTTTTAAGATTATTTTCTTTAGTTCTAAGTGTATTAGTAATATTATTAATACATATTATGGAAAATTGAGCAAGTTAAAGAATATATTCACTCCACCTCTTTTTCCTTCTTATTGCTGGTATAAACTTGTTAGATAGATAGCAAGAACTAGATGGCCACTAGGACTAACTACAAAATCCAACTGAAGGACATAAAGAACTTTTCATGCAGTAGAATCTCTTCGACTGGAAACTGCCGCTCAAATTCTTTAATGGGCTCTAAGCATTTCAAAAACCGTTTGATTATCAGGCAACACCTTAATCTTTGTTTTAATTCCTAATATATAAAGTAACAATTAAAATTCGAATTTAAATTTCAGCTTTTGGCGCGTAAAACAACAGTTCTAGTTTTACAAGTTCATAAACTTGTAATCGATGTGTTTCGTGTTGTTGTTCTTAAATTAATCGATGAATCGATAAGTCTTTGTTTTGATTCTCCTAGACCTCCTACAACAATACGAAAAACAAAATAAATAACAAACACAACAAACGAAATAACAGAGAAACAGGAAAAATCTACAAATCAGAAAAATGGCGTTTTAAAATTGCTGATGGTTGCTTGCTGGTTGGTACTCTTTAAATTGGACTATTATTTTGCGGTGAGCTAATAAAAAAATAATAGAAACTGATTAATAATTCGGTGCTGCGCAGTTAGACGGCTCGATTTTTTTCACAATTAGAATGCAGATATATTTGGCTTAAAAGAGGGATTATAGATTAAGCGGATTATGGGTGCGATACTGGAGGAACGGACACTTCTGTCCATAGTTGGAAGCTTATCGCGTTACAGTTACCGACACGCACCATTGCCAGCTGTTTACGCGGCTGGAGCACCACCCACCTCTCGTCACTGCTGATCTCCGCTCCCCAACCCTCCCAGTATCACTGCCGGCTTAGCAACTACCCAGTCGCTGGACTGCCAGTGGTCCTCGATCGGCTATAAATAGCAATCTTAATAGTTTTTCCGCAACAACAACCAAAGTTTCCACTCCACGAACCGAATTATCTACCAAGTAATCATCATATTTGGTCGCTACGCCACTTTCCGTACTCCACCTCCTGCGTCTATGTTACCACTCCTTCTCATTTTCCGCACGTAATCTCATGCACTGAAGAAACGCAGTCCAGACTCGCTAAATCGGACCTACCTCTGTGTAAACAAGCTACTTGGGCATTTGATCTTGTCCATTCGGGGAAGTCCAACTGTATTCGTTCCCCTTTTTAATTACAGCTGGCGCTCTCCTGCGATCGCCGTTGTCAGTTTGGTCTCATCGCTTCGAGCGTCCAGAAGTAAAGCTTTGCCCGATGCCCGAGGAGTCGCTGGCCAGCCGAAGCAGACTCTTCGTCGCCGTCACCAACTGGGTGGCAGGTTCGCCTTCGCAATTATCTGAGGTTTTCCACACCAGCGATGGAGTTGAAGGAGAAGGAGCAGCAACAGCTGCTACTGGATACACTGAGCTCGCTGTGGACCCACTATCTCCAGGCCTCGGAGCGCGAAGATGCGAGTGTCAAGGTTTGTGGATTTCTCCTTGATATACTCAATTCTTATCGTTCTGGGTTTCTTTTCTTGTAAACAGAATCACTGGCTGTGGCTGATGCTATATAACTTCCAGTTTCTCGACGATCAGGCCCTGGAAGATGCCTGGCTAACTAGGTAAGATTTTACTTGCAAGCCTATATTCTACATGACCATTAAATACATTTCTTCGACTCTAGCCATTTCAATCTCGTCCCGGAGGAGCTCTGTTCGTACCTGCTCGAACAGGTCTACCAAATTATTAGCGAGGCGAAGCGATCTCAGGGCAATAGTCCGGAGCAGGAAACGGAGCAACAGGACAACTGCATCAAGCAGCTGCGAAAGCAGCACAATCTAGCTCAGGTTAGCCTGCTCGATTTCCTTATCTATGCTCTAGTGTGGCTTGCATTATATAGACGTCTATAATTAAAAGTACATCATACACTTTAGCTCATTCTCAGCACACCCAGTGATTGTAACAAGATTCTTGCCCTGCGCACTTTTCTCACCGATAAGTTGGGCCACCACTTACTGGCCTTTCTGCTGCGCGTGAATATCAAGGCAAGTTGAAAGCGAAATCTATAAAAAACGACAAAGACAATGAATAAAAAACAAATGTTCCATATTAATCGACTTCCCTTTCTGCCCATCCACAGCACATTGCTTCCCAGAAGAGCCTCTGTCAGCTGTGCATAAATCTGTTTCCCAACTGCAAGTGGAGCGCCACTAACGAGCCTCTGCATCCACTGACCAGCATTTCCCAGTTCATCGGCAGTTTCTACCTCAACTCTCCAAGTAAAAGGCAACGGCGCCAGCAGACGCAGGAAAACCAATCACACCACTATGCATGCAACTCAGTCGTCCATGACTTTCAGGATTTCAAACGAGCCACGAAAAGCAGCGACGAGCTGGCACTACTGCTCATCCAGTTACTCACCAGGTGTGTCGATGCGGAGCAAGAATCTCAATTAAGTGTGACAGTGCACAACTTTGCTCTGGGCCACCTGTGCGCCACCTTGGAGGAAGAGTTGCCGGGCGGCAACGACGAGGTCATAAAGTTTGAGCTCCTGCAACTGATTGCCCATTGTGTGAATAAATTTTATGTGCTCGAGCAGCAACAGCCCAATGTTCATGATTTCAATAGCAATTTCGGACAGTTACTCTACGCCCTGACCGCCAATCGGAGGAGTCCTCTTCTCGCCCAGGGTGTCCTCTATATAATCTTTGGAACCCTGCACAATCTTGTGGACAACGGCGTGCGCGACTTGAACCATGTGGATTTGGGAAAATTCGATGCCTGCTTTGAGGTACTGCAGGAGGTGGCCAAGTCGACTGACTTCTCGACACCCATATTTCTGCACATTTACAAAATGCTGCTGCGCCTGACGGACAACCTTTCGAGGCAGGAGCAGCACCTGCAGTGTCTCATGGAGAGCAGCGCCTCCACCGCCCTGCCCAAGCAGCAACAACAGCAGCCCCGCCACAAGAGGCAGAGAAGCAGCCAGCTGCACTGCCTGGGAGCCACTTCCCTATGCTGCTACTTCCAGGGAAAACTGTATCAGCTGCTGCCCTGTCTGGACGCTGAGCTCCAGGAGCACAGTGTGCGGAGTCTCCTGCGAATGGGCAGCTGTTGCTGTCACTACAATGCCAGGAACTACAGCACCTGCCTCCAACTTGCCACCCGACTATCGAGCAGCTATCAGAAGTGCGCCTACAAGTTCCTGCACTACAATGTCCTTCACACAATATTTGTGAAGAGGTCTCCCCAAGGCTGTCCCGGGTGCGAGGAGAAGTTCAAGTCGCCGGTGTTTCACCTGAATCTGCTGACCATTTACAAGGAAAACTACAAGCTCCTAAACACCCCGTCTATGTTGCTTTTCCTCAAGCACCTGAAACATATTGCCTACCTGCTGCCCTACGATTTGGCCGCCGGAATCCTGGCAGAGGTGGCCTTGCCCATATTCAGGCAATTCAAAGACTCAATCGAGAGTGGCGCCAATAAAGCCAAGAGCAGCAAGGTGGCTCCTTTGAAACTGCCCAGCAAACTGGACAACTACAGGGCGCTCCACGAGTGCCTGGGCATTTTTGTGATGTACTTGAGTGACATACGGCTGGTGAAGGCCTTCTACAACGAGGAGAACATCCGCTACATGCAGGACCTGCTGGCCATTCCCGAGCTGCAGCGCGGCGTCTGCGATCTGATCAAGGTGGGCATCGACAACATTGCATTTCTCGGCGAGAACAGCCAGGAGCAAATCACCCTAAGCCGGAGGCTGATACAGCTCCAGTTGAACAGCAGTGACAAGGCGACCCAATTGTTCCAACTGCTTCTCCACAAGTGCGCCAAGAAGTCGGACAGCAAGTTCTGGCTGGACGATGTTACGGATTCGGTTAAGCTGGAAGGCCACAAACCGGCGGATATTCTCTACATCACAGCTCTGCAATGGACGCTCAACTTCGACCTCCTGAAGACCAGCCAGCTCTTCTACAATGAGTTTGCCAAGATCTACTCCATACCTGTGGAAATGGCGGACAACGAGGACGATGAGGCGGATGTGGAGCAGCAGCAGCTCCCGGAGGAGAAGAAGCTGCGGCATGGCGATAAAAACATCGTCGACATTCTCAAGCTGAACTACAATGCTCTGAGTTGCTTCCTCATGCTTCCGAAAGCCGCAATGGGGCCAACCGCGACCGACACAGGCTCAACCGCAGCCACGCCCACCGCCGCCATATGTGCCTCAAGTTCATTGGAGACCCTCGTTTCCCAGCTGCCGCTAGGCAACTCGGTTTCAGTCTCCGTCACGACGGCAGCCAGCTCGGACTACGCGGAGTCGCATCTGGACTACGCCTCGGTGATAGATAACTACGATAGCCTCCCACTGGCCACCAAGGACTCCTTCCTGCAGCATCTTCGTGGCAGTGAGCCGGACGAAAGCATTGTGCTCTTTGACATACGCGGTAGCCAGCCCCTGGTAGAACCATCTTCTGATCCTGGTTTGATTCTACCCAGCGAGGAGGAGACCGTCGCCAGCAATGGCATTATAAACAAGCTGTTCAGCATAGTGGGATCAATATTCGGTGGCAATCCAGGTGGCGACCAGGGAAGTGACGGATCTCCCGCCAGATCCAATATTGAAGCCGATTTGTTCTGCCTGTACGAACCGAACGGGGAGTGCAAGAAACTCCTCCTCAAGCTCTTCGAAGCGACCATGGCCATATGCATTAAGGGTTTCCAAAACGAAGAAGGTAAGTGTCAGAGATTTGTCCGCTTGAATGGATTATTCACCAAAGGGGGTATATGGGATGAGGGATGAACCTCATCGGGTGAA